TTAGCGCCAAGGCGTGTACTGGCGATGGCCTGACAACCAACGTGGCTTTGTTGCTGCATCGGGATTATTGCGCATCATCGTTCTCGGAGCATCCCTGCGCGCTTCACCCGGAACGGGAGTTGTTAGACAGCGGAGTCCGCTTGCGATGGTTACTGATGTCCTCGTGGAAGCTGGGGCCCTTCACCTTGATGTCGGAGGCGCTGGCGGGCTCCACCTGCAGTTTCAGCCAACGAATGGAGCCGGCCTTCTCCCACCGGACTGATTTCTGGGGATCATATGGACGTCGCGTACACCTCTCACTATCCCAAGAGATCTTGCACTACCAGACGCGCGGCCTGTTTATGAGCCCGAACTCCGCTGCATCTGCCACAATCCGAGCGGCTTTCATGTTGGTGGCAAACCAATGGATATCCGAGTTGTTCTGAAGAACCACTCGCTCAACCAGCAACAAACTCGCGCTGCATCTCTGTCTCCAAAGCTTCAAGAAGCTCCACAAAGCGTGCGAACAGGCGGTCCGACTGCTCGCGATGCCCCGGCACCTCGTCACCCTTCAGGGCGCAGTAGCCTGGACACGGTGGACGCGCTGTCACCATCGTCATCATCATCATCATCATCGTCATCGGCGACTGTTGCTCCGCCTGAAAAGACTTCAACTTGGCTGCCAGCGCATTGACATCTTCCTTGAGGATGTCCCCTCTACGCGTTCTTCCTGACCTGGTCATCGATCTCCCACCCAAGGAGCATGTGGACGCGCGCCGCCAACCCGCCTGACGCGCTTCCTCCCCCAGCACAAACTCGGAGGCCTCGCTGAAAGCCTGACTCACGGATGCGAAGGACCACGCACTGCTCCCCCTGAACCCGTCGAACACTTTCAATTTCATCACAGAGATGGCGCACCTGGTGTGGCCCCAGCTCAAGCAGGACGAAACACCATCTGATGGCATCTAAACCATCTATGATGCTCCACTGACTGCCGGGCTCCCAAACTTCTGCCTCCGCAGCCGCGACCCCGTCCTCCTAGGAAAGCGCCAGCTTGCACTTCTTGGTGGACAACACGTTCACCTCCCTGGAGCAACTCTGCCAGCCCAAGAGGAGTGTACAGCTTGCTCATAGTGAACCTAGGCCAGTATGCATTTACATTCGACCAATACGCGCGATGGGAAGGACCTGGCCACACCTGAACGTGCCACCGCCCAAACTCCAGGGCAGGGTTTCGGGGGCTTCTCGACGGTACCTTTACTGGATGTGCTCCGTGGCTGGGGTGGTTGCGTGGCCCCCGTTCCCAGCTGCGTCTGCGCCGCAAGCTTACTCACTTAGGCTGAATGGAATCCAGCGCCTACGTGTGCATGTACCAAAGTACCGCCCTGGCTAGGGGCGCCGCATCTGCGGACACTTTGTAAGTGACACCACCGGACTCCTTGCTGCAGGCAGGGCTTGACTATTCGCTCCACTAAAACTCCGGCTCCGGGTTTCATGCGCGAGCCAAGGTACCCACTGACAGGAGTCCAACACACCCCAAAACTGAAGCGTAACAGCCCAGCACATCAAGATGGGCATGTCAGCTTGCGAACCGCGATCAGCCCAAGAAATTGGGCTATCTCCTCCTGCACTATCGTTGCCAAGCCCGCACAAAGCTGGTCATACAATTTCACATCCTGCGAGGACTGGGCAAAGGCCGCTCACAATCCTTCTTGCAGCCGCGCCAAGGACAGCTCTCAGTTAGCTAGCCTCGCTGCCTCAAACCTGCTGCTGCAGGGCATCCTGGCCCCTCATAGACATAGCCAGCGCAACGGCCCACACCGTCACGCTCACACGCAAGCGCAACACAAGGAACCCTCTCCTGTCCTCAAGTGCGTCCACCTGCTCCAGGATGAAGGCCACCGATGCACAGGACACCAAAACGCTCTTTCATGCAACAGGTATCCTTTTTCAGGATAGAACACCAAAACGCTACGGAAAGACTCAAAGCCAAGTCCTCCCAGGGCAGTTTGCACCGGAGCCCCGCGATCGCACTTCAAGCTCGTTAACAAACGCAGAAAAGGCACGATGCGGTCACGCCTAGTACAATTGCATTGCTAAGCTGGATCGACCTTGGCTACCGTTACAACTCGCTGGGGGCTTGAGCCAAAGATGCTCTATCATTTTTTCTTCCCTTACTACCTTCCAAATGTCCTGCTGCAACTGTAGCGCTTTGTCCATGAACATGCACGGCGAAACATAACAGCGACGGCCGAAGAAGAATTGACCCATGTTGTCCAACATGTACAAACTAGCTAACGACGGCCCCTGAATAATTTCACCACTGATCTCAGGATCCTCACATCTCAAAGCTGCATTGCAAAGCAAAAACGATCTGGTCGAGCTCCGTAAAACCCTTGAGTTCCCTATATACACGTCTCCACATAGCTGTCTAAATTTCTGTATGGGCACATGGGCTTTTCCCTCACAGATCACTGAATAAAGTTTGCCCATCCTAGGCTTCCTCGAACTGCATGCTTGGTAGCGATATGTTTGTCTGGGAATTGTTATCTGCGTCTCTTCTTCCTCTATATGGGTTTCACATACCCCCTAGGGAGCACGTAGGGGCGAGCCCCACGACCCGCCCGAGTAACAGCCTTTGTCCTCTCACAACGCTCTTGTACAATGAGAGTCTCGTGAGAGTCGATTTTGGGTGTCTACCGTTGAGGTTTCCCAGGTTGTGAGTGATTAAAACTTCCTCCTTATTCAACACAGGCTGAACGGGGGCGTCTGCAAAAGAACTCCACTTCCAGGCGGAGCTTATCACAGGCCAGTTCCCTCATTCCCATACACACAGATTGCAAACAAGTGACCGGTAGTCTTGGACTCTTGGAAACTCGGCACTGCTGCCCATTTTTCCGGCTTGACTTTACTGGCAAGGTAAAGGCCTGTACGCGACGTGGGAACCTCCTGCCCTCCCAGAAAAATCCGATACTGGCAAGTCAATTGTGTTTCTTCCGACACTCCACCAAGGTACTCAACAGGGGATAAATCCTCTTCTTCTTCTTCCACTGGCTCTGCCAACTCCCAGAGGGATAAATCTCTCTTCTTCTTCTACTGGCTATGTCCGCTTCCGAGGGGGCGGACCAAAGTTACACCCCGTAGCTGCGCTTCCCACTGTACACAACGAAGTGATGCTGAAGAATTGCTCATGAAATGGCTGGTAGGTGTCCCACCCCCCATCTTCTTCTACCCCCCGTCCCCGCTGTCCTTCAGGCGGTTTGTACCGTAAAGGAAAAAACATCTATACACTCCCTGGACTTCCACCGAAAATGGGTCTTCACAGCTTCCCTTACTACCCTTTCCGGTGTTCCTCCAATATGTTGCGCGTTCCCCATCTGTAAAATTTTCCTCTAACATTGTCAAACGTCGAGCCGAGGAAGGTTGGGGAGTGTTACGCACCCTTAATCACCACCTAGAACCCACATTCCTCACTCCCCCCTGCATCTCACTGCTCTGTCTGCCTACTTCGCAGCACTTCTCACTAATCATACCCCAGTATATACAATATTGCACCACTCCAGGTTTACTTCTTGCTTACCCGGCTATCGCGAGTTTGTACCTGCATCAGATTCCCACGAATTCTGCATTTTGTTGTCTTCAACATTTTATTCCCCGCTGCCCCAACACAACACCTGAAAAAGACTACACCACCAATCATCAGAAAACCATTCCCTTCAAGGTCGCGGGTTTGGTACCTGTATGGGTCTCTCTTCTTCTTCTTCTCACTGCTGTACCCCCCCCCCCGCTCTCTCTCTTCTTCTTCTATAGGTTCTGCAGCATCAAAGATGCTGCGGGGGCGGACCCCCAGCCCGCGAAGGTCAGTTGGTCGGTGGGAGAAACAGGGGTGTTGTGCTGAAGGCGCGGGGATTCCTTGTCTTCTTCTTCTTCTTCTCCCCCCCCCCGGCCTTCATTCCTGTTTGTTACCCAAGCTGTACATTGGGCAACCCCCCTTTTCTTGCTTTAAAATTGGGCAGTTTGATGAGCCGAGGTAAGGTTGGAGAGTGACTTCCCAGACCCCCCATGAGCCCAGCACGTCTAATCCAACAGTGGTCACTCTCCCCTGCTTCTCACTGCTCATTTGTGCGTGGTCAAATCTTGACATTTGCAGCGCATGGCTACCCTGCCTGGAGCGTGCTTCTAGCTTCTATATACATTGGTCACACTGCTGATTTCTCAAAAGAATGGTTTCGAATTTTGCACCTTTATACTTCCGAATTTTACTCCTGCATTGCCATCTTTGGCTTCCAGTTATCTGCTTCCCTTATCCACGGGTCGACTCCCCAAAAGCCAAACAACAATCTTCGAACTTCAAACCTGCCTCCCCTTGGACTTGGGTCTTGCAAGTTACTTGCGGTTCATTATGGATCGTTAGTTGGCTCTTCTCCCCAAGGAGGCTTTTGCTCCGGCGTCCACTGTGCCAGGTCCCGGCTAGCGATCATACACGGGAGTGCGTAGACAGAAAACTTCAGTGGAGCCCGGATCAGATAACAATCACAAGCATACTCACGTGCACTCCCAGATATGAACCTCACCGCTGCTGACTACAGCTGTGAAATGGCCTGCCACTCCCCGGCGACTCAATTGGCTCCGGAGCTGTGCATTGCGTGGCAGGGTGGTGGTGACAGACAGGCTCAGCCGAATCCGGTATCAAGTTGAGATAACCCTGTGGCCCCTATTCCACAATAATCCAGAGTCCCCCGAACGCGTGCACTGCTGGCACGTGTTAGAGCTGTGCACTCTAGTTTGCGGCAGCTTGAACTCAATCCACCTCCGATCGGTGTGTGTGGTTTGCATGTTGATCCTATAGTCTGGACTCATCTACAATGCACCATCGATGCTAAACACATGACGACACTAAACCCCAGACCCACACACCAAAATACTCCCGCTCTCTCTCTCTCTCTCCTTTGTCTGAAACTCTGAAGTACATGTTGCAGCTCTTGTAGATCGCAGCGCATCACCTTTGCTGAGCTCTGGTCCCACTTGAAACTGCCCAGCAAAAATGGATCGCTGATGTACTGCCTGAATCAGCAACAAGCCTGAAGAACCCTTCAAGCAAGACTGCACCACCATCCGCCAGAGAAGTCTGCTAGCCACTTTCATCAAGTGGCTGAATGATTGTCAGCTCTCCATAGTGAACAGCACTAACATCGTTGATGACCTGGCATTGCTGCTGTCTTCAGAGCTCCGCACACGCCAAGCACCGTGCAATCTTGCGGCTATCCCGTTTTAGATGCAAAATCCTGACGATTCTGATCTGGACGGTGACTACATCCTCGAAATATGGAAGCCAAGCAAAGGACCCAGCAAGCGACACGTCGGTACGCAAACAGACGAATGCTGCCGGCCTGAATTCCTCGCCCACGACTGCTGCCAGCCGGCTTCATGATCCACATGTTCGGGACCTGAACTACATCTCTCGTACATCCCTGCTTCTGCATGTTTCAGACACGTTTATGGCAGCACTGGAAACTTGACGGCGAGGCACTGGAAAGGCAAGTAAAGAGGCACTGAGTTTGCTGAAATTGCAGCTTGTTTTGCATTCTGTTAAAGCTATGTACGTGGCATCTTGTACTCGTTTCGATTCGATATCTTATATAACTTCGTCTAGGGATGAAGACAAGGCCTCAGTGTTTGTGCCGAATCCTTTACCCTGGTGCAGCGTAACTGCGCGAAGTGGCCTCTCAGCAGGGAGTGCCCGCATACCCCTGTTGCACCGCTTGATAGGAAACTCGGCTCCTCCGTTCAGTCTAGCTTTCGTGATTGTAAACTCATGAACTATTGCGATTGGCTAGAGAAAGCAACGCAAAGGCGGTGTTTTTCAGAGTCATTATGGCAAGTCTTTGCGTTGTTGCAGTGCTCCGCATCCAAACAAGACTGAATTTTCGGATGCCTTAGCAAGGAGTTGCAAAGTGCGCATCGATTTTAAGGTTTACAAGCCCTCTCCGCTCCTTCTGCTGCTTGTTTTCTTTCTGGGCAACTGTATCATGCAGCAATGGGGCACCCGGCCTTTGGTCCAGGAGGAGGATTACCTCAGGCAGTTGTGGATCGCCGAGGCAACGTCCAACCGACAATAATAATGCAGAGGGTTTTTATCCTGGGTCGATGAACTTCCGAACGCCCACCATGATGGGTGATCATTTTTCGGTTCTTTCAAGTTTCTGACTCGTACCAGTCATCAGCTATGCCTGCATTCCGTTTCTGTTGTCAGGCTCGCAGGGGTGGGTGTTCTTTCAAGCGCTCCACGCAGTGCCAAACCCAGGCTTGGTCTTGATCTGAGAGAAGCTAGGGCCAGGATCTTTTCCGACCACTTTTATCACGAGAGGTCTATGTTGGTTGACCTATGCCTATGACTCACGTGAAGAGATGAAGCATTGCTTCTCAATAGATTGCACGCGCACAAGTCCGCAAGAAATTCCCACAAACTATCTGATGCACGGTCATTGTTGCTCACTTAATGTGTCCTTGTGTCTAAGCCCACACGGCCAATTTTCAGGATAAGTCTTTCCTGGATGAACGCGTCTTTTATTTGTAGCTTCTTCTAAGTCACAGACCCACTTGTAACGCAACATCAAGCCGGCCTGGCGCTGAGTGAACAAACAGCATCTTACTATTCACACAATAGCCGGCTTAACCATATCATGCTTCAGATGAGCAAACCTTTACCTGAGTCGCTGCAAATACCATTTATAGGCAATGTGCTTACCATGTACGAGTACCAGCTTTATGCCAGGCGTGTTGTATTCGGAGGGCTGCTGCTACGTTACAGAAAGGCTGCGCCTGCAATCCTAACACGCAAATGTGATCTTGAAAGTTGAACACTCACCGACTGCTTTTGCTCAGCGCCCGACTTCCTTCCAGATCTCCGTTCTCCTCTGCTATCTTGGTGAAGCAGTCAATGAATAAGCAATACCTGCAAGGCAAGCTGCTAATCAAGAAGCATCTCAGGTGATTGACCTTTAATTACAAACAATGGCGCACTCTTTCGGGAGAACAAATGTTCTTGGGCAGATGTTGAAGTACTGGGCCAGCTTGCCTCCTTTGCAACTTCATCATCCCACCGCAACTTCTGAAACAACGCAGACGCCACTGTGCCACATGCAGGTAACACAGCAACTCTTGCATGTAACCACTGCGGAAAGGAGCGGCCTGTTCGAGTGTACCGGTCGATGCACCTCTTGAGAAAATCCTGAAACTGTTTGCAGCTGGACCCAGGACACAGCAAGTATTGCTTTCAGCCAGCATCCTTGCGCGTCAAATGCTTGTTCTCGGGAAAGTGGTTGACTTTTTGCCACACACATAAGCCTCACAACGGCTTGGAAGAAAGAAGGTGCTGGCGCTCCGGGCTCGGTTTATCTAAACGTCTTCAAATTCCTACAGTTTCGTCCAACCTTAGCGTTCAGTGCCTTAACAAATCCAAGCACATCAATGTTTGGCAATACGTGGCGCAAGGGCAAGGTCAGACACTTTGAACTTGCATCAGCTGCGCGCGTTTGGGGTTCAGGTGCGGGGCTTGCTGTACAGACGCGGCCAACATGTCTGTGTGTGGCTTAATAACGACAACCTTCAATCACGGCTACTGCTACTGGTACTGCTACTGCTATTCCATTCGAGCACAACCTGTCGAATCCGCGAGTGGACAGCTAAGTGGCAGCGGGGGAGGAGGAGGAGGAGGAGGAGTTCGGCACACGGGAGTACCCGCTGCCTTACAACCACTTCCCTCCCCAGCATCTCAGGAAGGCTCCGAAAACGTCATAGCCCACCTCGGCGAGGAGTTCCGGTGGAGGAACTAGCTAATGCTGCCAAGATTCCTGCACAAGGGAGGCAACGAAGGACAAAAAAACACAAGGGACGAGGGTGAGCAATACCTCAAAAAGGCCGCTCAAACCCGATGGAAATATGAAGAAAAAAAAAGGGGCGGGTCTGAATGGTTAACAGCAGCAGCCGTGGAAAAGGAGGAGGAAACAGCCCGGGACACCGCCAGGCAAGGCAAATGAGGGCCGGGCGCGTGAACAGGCTAGGGCGGGAAGTGGGGCAACAGCCAAGAGGGCGAGAGAATAGGCGCAACAAGCATGAATGGATAGGAAGAGAGACCGCCAGCCCAGAGGGTCAAAGAGACACAAAACCAGTATAGGACAAAGGCCAGCCCAGAAAGCCAGAGAACAGGCGAAACAAGCATGAAAGAATAGGACGAGAGAGCGCCAGCCCAGAGGGCCAAAAAGGCGCAAATCCAGTATAGAACGAGAGGGACGGTGATGGCACAGCGGGCCCGAGAATACGCGCAACAAGCACGAACAAATAGGAAGAGAGGGCGCCAGCCCAGAGGGCCAATAATAGACGCAAAAACAACAAAGAATAGAAAAGAGAGAAAAAAAGCCAGCCAAGAGGACCCAAGAATACGCCGCAAAGAGCACAAACAGATGGGAAGACAGGGCGCCAGCCCAGCGGGCCAGAGAATAGGCGCAGCAAGCACAAACGGATAGGAAGAGAGGGCGCCAACCCAGAGGGCCAGAGAATATGCACAACAAGCATAAACACATTGGAAGACAGGGCGCCAGCCCAGAGGGCCAGAGAATAAGCGCAACAAGCACAAACGGATAGGAAGAGAGGGCGACAGCCCAGAGGGCCAGGAAAAAGACCCAACAAGCACAAACGGATAGGAAGAGAGGGCGCCAACCCAGAGGGCCAGGGAATATGCACAACAAGCATAAACACATTGGAAGACAGAGGAAGAGAGGGCGCCAACCCAGAGGGCCAGAGAATAGGCG